CTTCCTCTCTGTGCCTCCCGGAGAGCAGCTGATCCCTGGGTGGGGAGGGCACCTTGTGAACCCCTCCCTTCCCTTCCCACCACCCGCGAGGGAGTTCATAACCAGCCTCGCTTCACAGATCTGTTGTTGGGTGTTACCGAGTTGGCAGGCTCCTAGGGACCCTCGTTGTTAGATGCTGTCAGGTATAACTCTGTAAGGACCCTGCGTGTGACCCGAAACCTCGGCCCCATCCTCATCCCTCGGCCTCATCTCCCAGTCTCTGGTGCAGGGTTCATTGTTGCTGCCTCTGTGGCGCCGTCTCATTGAGGGTCTTCCGCTTTCTCACCCTCTGTTGATGTCTTTCTCCAGGGACCGGCCTCTCCTGATAACGTGTGCAGAGTGTGTGAGACCAGGTGGCACCATCCTCACTTACCTGGAGGATTTTGACTAAATTTCTGAGACAGATTTGTTGAGGGGAGTTTGCAGTCCATGGTCTATTCAGTATTCTTTGCCACCACCACAGTACAAAATATCAGTTCTTCATCTGGGGTATTCCTCTTCCAACTTTTACATGTAGATATGGCAATTGAAAATACCATGGCTTAGACCAGGCGCACCTTAGTCCTCAAGGTGACACCCTTGGCCTTTAGTACTTTAAAGAAGTCCTGGGTCTCACATCTGCCCACTGCAGTACGACATTTGATTTCTTGATTGTTGTTTTCATGAATGTTTCACGGCTGGGGACACTGGTCTTCAGCTGCCTGCCCTGGGGATGGCCGGGGCTCAGAATTCCCCGTGCACCCACATTTGTCTCTGACCTCATGCCAGGGCAAGAGCAGAATCCACTCCAGACTTCCTGATGAGGCAAGACTGTCTCCAGGCCCCCATCAGGCTGCCTCATGCAGCCAGCAGGGTTCTGTGTGCATCTCCCCAAGTTCTGGGGTGATGGGCACATCCTTGAAGGTCCCCAGAGCAGATTGTGGTGTCATTGATGTCCCCCAGGACCAGTCAAGTTCCAAGTGTCCATCATAGGTGCTGGGAGGAGTCTCCCATTTTCTAGACGCAGACCTCAGTCTGTGCTTCCCTGTATTCCGAGGGCTTGGGACCTCATGTTCCAAACTGACCCTTTTACGGGGTGTCCTCCACATTAGAGTGAGGAGGGCCGAGTGAGGCCACAGCCCGCAGGGGCTCACAAGGTCCCAAGGAGTGGGACTCCACGTGACCAGCACGCTCCTCAGCCTCCTCCCTTCACTGCAGCTTCAGGCTGCTCCCGGCCGCCCCTGCTCCATGCTCTCTGGGGCTCCCACGTCCCGCTATTAGGCCCCTGCCCTCCACACCGACCCCTTGGACAGGAGGACCATACAGACCCTTGAGAGCGTGTCAGTTCTCTGACCATCCTTCCCCCACACTCCTGGCCTGCACTGTACCCCCAAACACTGGACACTCATCTTCACTGAAGCGCAAGAACCTCACCTCCTCGCCCTCTGTGGAGTCCCCACCCCAGGCTCCTCCCTGCGTCCCTGCAGAGGAAGTTCCACCCTAATGGCCTCCAGTCCAGCACCGGATGGGAGGATGAGACAAAAGGCAAATCTGAACCTGCTATGGCTCCCCAGTGCGCATGGGAGCAGAGCCTGGCCTCTCCCTGACGGAGGCCCCAAGAGGAGGAGACACTCTTTAGCCCGGAACCTCATTTTCCTTGCCTTCCTCCATCCTCTGCACTGTGCTGTTCTCTTTACGGGGGACATGGCCCTGGACACACAGCTCCTCTTGACCTGCTTTGCTCCAGTGTGCCTTCCTCCAGGAAGCCCTCCCTGACTGACAGAGACCCCTCCTCCCAGCCCTGTCCATGTGTCTTCATTGTCTAAGACTAGACCTTTCTCCCTCCTGAACTGAATTCAGGAAGAGCAGACCCAGGCTGTGTCGTCACTTTGTGCCCCCAGCATTCCGGGTCCATAGTAGCATTTCCTCTCACAGACAGTGTGACCTCTGCAGAGCCCACATTCCAACCGACTGGTAGAGAGAGCATGGCACACAAGTCAGCAAACACTGTCTGAGCCGCTCCCCAGCCCAGCTCTGTGCTGCAGACCTCTGCTGAAATCTTGAGAACCAACGAGTTCCGATACGGTTCCTTAGTCATTCAACAAACAGCTGCCAGGCTCAGCGTTGTTAGAGTGGAAGAGAAGCATGTGGGCCTGGCTTTGGAACCATAACAGCCATTCCTCATCCCTCCTGTCACAGGCTAAGCTCCAGTCCTTTCATGCTGCTGTTCAGGCTCCCCTTCATCCCTCTCTAGCCCCCAGGCCTCCTGGCTGGGCCTTGAACATGCCAAATGCATTCCCACCTCAGGGCCTTGACTGTTCTTGAGCCTCATCTTCAGACACCCCCCCCCCCACGTCCCCTCACACCTTCCTGGTCTTTCCAGCTCACATCGTGTCCTTACTCGTTCCCATGCCCTGCCTGACTCTTGCATCACATCACAGCCTCTGCACCAGGCCAGTATTTGCATCTCTGTCTTCCTCTCCCCTCACTTGGATTTCCTTTCTTGTGTCCCGTGCTGTGTCCCCAGCTCTTGAAATGCTGCTTGGCACTCATTAGGTGTGTGTTAACTGTCAATCCTGCTTTTGACACAACTCTGGGCGGCTTGGTGTGCTGCATGTTACACAGCTAACTGAAAAGTCAGAGGTTTGAATCCACTAGCTGCACTGAAGGGAGAAAAGACAGGTCCCAACCCCCATAAGGAGTTATAGCTTTGGAAATCCAATGAAGTGTCACGAGGAGAATCAGTAAGGAGTCCTGGTGGCGCAGTGCTTAGGTATTCAGCTGCTAACTCAAAGGTGGTTGGTTCAAAGCCAACAGCCATGCCTCAGGAGAAAGATGTAGCAGTCGGTTTCCATCCAGATTTATAGCCTTGAAAACCCTTCTGGGGCAGTGTTAATCTGTCCTACAGAGTTGCTGTGAGTCAAAATTTACTTAATAGCAATGATGTTATTGTTCTATGCCATTGAGTCAGAACTGACTCATAGCTGACCCTCCAAGAGGTTTTCAGAGGCAGTAAGTCAAAAGAGAGAAGATTGTCCATCCTTTCCCTCTGAGCTGCTTGTGGATTCGAACTGAGGGGCTTTGAGTTGGCAGCGCAGCTCCTTACCCCAAAGCCCCCGAACAGACCCAGAGAAAAGATTTGTCCAAGGTCATGTGAAATATTTAGGATACCGAGTGCTGGGCATATGTAAAAGCTTCATGCAAGTGTCAGCTAGTACTATTTTTCTCTTGTCAGTCACCCTAGCAAGTGGATATTAACTTTGGTTCTTTTTCCAGTGAGGAAACAGAGGCGAAGTTGCTTGCATGATGTTACACAGCTGGCAAGCAAGACCTGGGATTTAATCGGAAGTAGTTTAATTCTTGGTCCTCAAATAGTCTGATTCTGTTTTATAGCCTGCAGGCCAGATCCTGCCTGCTACTGGTTTGTGGTGTGGTTTTTTTTTGGGGGGCGGGGTTCCCCTTTGTTTTAATATTTGTCATGGTTGGGGGAAAATACAAGGAAGAATATATTTCATGACTCGGGAAATGTCTATGATATTCAAATTTCAATATACATTTAAAAAAAAAACAACAGTCAAGCTCATTACTACTGAGGCAGAACTGAGTCATAGCTGACCCTCCAGCAGGTTTCTAGGGGCTGTAAATCACTCAGGAGATTTCCCTTCTTTCTCCCTTGGAGCCACAATGGATTCCATCCACCTGAGAAGCACTGCCCTTAAGTTAGAAGTGCAATTCCCTGGAGTCTAGGGCGCCAGAACTCCCTAATGTTCTGTGTCTTTGAGTCAGAAATTACTCCCAGCTGACCCTCCAGTGGGTTTTCAGAGGCTGTAAATAACACAGGAAGAGACCACCCATCTTCTTCCAGTGAAGCTACTGGTGGATTCTAACTGCACACTTGGGTTGGCAGCTCACCTCCTTACCACTGTGCAGGTCATGTTTCATTGAGATGCTGTCCCACTCATTTTTCAAAGGATGTTTCTGGTGTTACAGTGTATCAAGTGTTGGGTTGTTAACTGAAAATCGTTGAAGAGGTAGTGTGCAAAAATGTACAGCTTCAGAAGCTCTATATGGCTCAGAATCCATTGAAAGCAGTGGGGGGTTTCGTTTTGTGCTGAGGCAGCATTGAGTAGCAGAGTGGAGATTTGGGACCATCTGGTCGCCAAAGCTTCAAACAGTTGTTCTGGTCCTTAAAGAAAAAGTTGGCTGGTCCTGGTGCTGCTGGCAGTGGTTCTGCGGCCGCAGCCTCCATCTACATATCTTGAAGGGCTGGAGACCACGCAGATCTGCTGGTTCGGACCTGGAGATACACTGGTCCTCCTAGCCTTCCCAGACTAGGCTTCTGAACCTTAGAACTGGAAGAACGAACTTAAGGCGAATGGGGCCGGCGCAAAGCAATAAAGAGAATATGTATCTGTTCGTGCCATAAATATTTACTGGGTGCGGACTATGTGCCAGGCGCTGTTCTAGGTACTGGAGATACAAGAAGAGACAGGACCGAAATCTCGAAGCGGATGTTCTAACCAACTGCTTTAAAAATTCCTTAAACAGCATCAACTCCAGTTGACAGCTGAAGGAACTGAGGGGTGAAGCTTCCCTTCTAGTCCTTAAAAACAGTAGTAAGTCCTGCCCCGAGACAGTTTTGTTTCTCATCTTGCACAAATTGGCAAAGGGGGAGCAAACCTCAGTTGTCTCGCCCAGAGCAATGGGCAGCAGCGCCTACCGGCCCCTCCCGCGCGGCCGGCCTCCACTTCCCGGCCAGCCCCGCCCCCGGAGTCACGTGACGCGTGGGGGTTTTCCCGTTCCCCTGTCGTGACGTCACGGTGCGGCAAGGGCCAATGGGCGCGCAGGCCGGCGGCGCCGGGGA